AAAGAAACCTAATTATGTCTCAAGACACTCACCCATAAAATTCTAATAAACCTATTTTGGCATTTTTTTTGTTTGTAATTTGTTCGGGTAATATCCTTTTTTAAAAAAATTGAGACGATGATGTCAATGAAAAACACTAATGTTTTGTATGGGCAAAATTCCATTAGAGTGATGACATTAACAACCGATTTCATTTTCATGGTGTGAATTTCAATAGATAGAGGGAAAAAACTTTATTTTATCTTACATTATTGAATATTAGCTATGTTATAATGGAAAAAAATTAAAAGAAAATTGAAAATATAAATGATGAAGAGATAGCTCAACATGATATGAAAGATAAGAAGTGGAAAAAAATAATAATCGTTATCGCAATTATTTACTTAATTGTCTTTTTTTTTTTTTTTTAGTTTTATAATTATCATGACCAATAATATTTTTATGTTAAGAAGATTTGGAAAGTTCTACCCTAAAAATATGATACCGAAGAAACTGGATCCAAAGAATATGCTTGCAACTATTTTTTTTAGGTTTCAAATGAATGGAAAAAAAGCCCGTAATAGATTAAGCCTATGAATTTTAAATGATTGCACATAACATCTGCTCTAAAAGCATACATGTAGATGAACAAATGCAAGTTTCAACCATCATTGATAAATTTTTAGAATTTTGGAAAGGTTTTACCGAAAGCTTGAGGCATAAAGAAAAAGAACTTTCTATTAAAGCTCTTAGTACACGTCCGAAGGTAAAAAAGGAAACAAGAAATCAAGACAAAACCATTGAAATTAATGGTTCAAATAGTACTAAAGCAAATTTTATTACCTCTAATGAAAACTCATATCACATGCCAAAAGTTCATAGGAAGTTTCATTGTCAACTAAGGCCAAAGAAAAAGTTCTTCAAGAAAAAGTCTTATGAAAACCATTTTCACTCCAACCAAGTTAGAAATTATAGATCACATCCTAAGTCACCATCAAATAATGGCAACCAAACCGATATTAAAAATAATTATGCTTGTTTTGTTTGTGGTAAATCTAGGCATGTTGCTAAAAATTATCATTTTTGAAAACATAAGTCCGTTGCTCAAACTAACATTACTAGAGAGCCACTTATGGCTATGATTTTCAAGATTAATATTCTTGAAAGCTCGGATGGATGGTTGATTGATTCAAGAGCCACTTGAAACATCTCTTACAACAAAAACTTTTTCAAGACTCATAACATCTTGGATGAGAAAAAAGAAAATTATGCTTAGTGATTCTTATACTACCGAGGTGGTAGGGAATGAATATGTACTTATCAAATTTATATCTAGTAGAAAAGTCACTCTAAAAAATGTGTTGCATGCTTCTAAAATTCGTACGAATTTGGTTTCGATTTTTTTCTTGAATAAGGCTGACTTTAAGTAAGTTATTGAGGATAATTAATGCATACTTTCCAAAAAAGTCCTAGTTATTAAAAAAAGCTATGCTTGTGATGAGATATTTAAGCATAACATTGAAATGAATGAAAGACCCACTTATGCTTATATCGTTTCTTATGTGAATGTTTGATATTGTAGGTTATGTTATATAAATTGTAACTATGTAAAAAACTTGAGTAATATTCGTTTAATTCCTAAACTTAAAAATGAGTTAAAAAAATATGAATTTTATAGCATGGTTGAAATTTCAAGAGAGCTTTTAAAGAGTGTTGATCATAATTATAAGTTATTAGAACTTATACATACGGATATATGTAAGTTTAGTGGTACTTTAACTCATATTGGTAATCATTATTTTATAACTTCTATTGATGATTTTTCAATATATTGATATGTTTCTCTTATGAAGCATAAAAATGAAACTTTTTATAAATTTATCATTTTCCTAAAAGAAGTTGAGAATAGAATTGGTAAAATGATTAAAAGATTTCAAAGTGATTAAGGTATGGAATATGGTTTCATTAGTTTTAATGATTTTATTCAATCTAATGGCATCGTGCAAGACGTTAGAGCTTCATATTCACCTTTTTTTTATTATAGTCATGAGGAAGAACAAGACCGTAATTGATTTGATAAACTCTATACTTGTTAGTTCTAGTATTTCTAAAAATTTATGGGATGAAGTTATTTTAACCGCAAATTTTGTTTTGAATAGAACTCTATATAAAACCACTCATTAGCTCATTATGAATTTTGAAAAGGATTAAACCAAAAATAGGTTTTTGTAGAGTTTGGTGTTATTTAGTTTTTGTCGGATTACCTAATCCTAAAAGATCAAAACTTGATTTAAAAAAAAAAAAAAAACTTTTAGTTATGCATTTTTTAGTTATACTTTGAATCGTAAATCAATTAATATCTATCTTCCACTCCTCTCTTTTGAAATGATGTTTTGATCTTACATGTTAAATGCTTTTTTGGATTGATTGTGAGAATTTTTCGAGTGTTTTAAGAGTTCTTATTATGTTCGAGTGATGATGTTTTGCTCTTACAACTTTATTGTTCTTTTTTCTTTTTAATTTCAAGCTTTTCTTATTTCCTTTGAATTACACACACACACACACACACACACTTCATCCGTTCTAAAAAGATCATCCCTTTTGATTTTTCATATAGTTTTAAAAAATTATTAATTGTTGTCCTGTTATTATTTTTTTATACTTTTTGAAATATTTTTCTTTATTAAAATTATTAGTTATTAAATATATGAAGCCAATATTAATTTAAAAAAAAATCTATCCAAAACTAAATTAGTAAATCAAAGAAAAATTATTAAGTTAATTAATGATCAAATTTAAAAAAATTGTAGAAAAATAATATATTTAAAAAATATAGTTTTAAAATTTTGGATGGTGGATGCATATACCCTCGTTGTGGATAACATATGTGTTTGTTTAGAGATTATTGGATTCTCGTTTATGTTTGTGTTGAGGTATTTGTTGATTGTGATTTAATATGTGATTGTGTGATATTTGAGGTCTATTTTGAGTCAATTTGAGGCTAGTTTGTAGCTTGGGTGTTTTGGCATAGGTTTCTTGTGTGTTGCTTGTTGTTTGAGTGTTCCGCAAAGCTTGACATCTCTCAATCCAGCATAAATTGGTTTCACCTTATGGTTAAAGATTATTCAATCTTTATTGTTAAGAAAAAATGTATATAGTTGCCATTTTGGGGGGGGGGGGAGAGAGAATGCAAGGGCACACGAGTGCCATACTTTTAAAATTTACTAACAAATATATCTATTTAGCCAAGCTATGTGCTGGCCGGATCATAAGCTTTTTATGCTCAATTTTTCTTCTTGATGGCAATGTCGTATTCATCTAGCCAAGATATTCAATGGTCGACTATTAGTTCTTTATACTTAATTTTTGTTCTTTCTAATGGCAATACTATGTTTATCTAGTCAAGTTGTGTATTGGTGAGACTGTGAGTTCTACATGCTTATTTTTTTCTTTTTTTATGGCAATACTATGTTCATCGGTTCAAGCTATGCATTAACCAATTTGTGAATATTTCATACTCAGCTTTTCTTTCTAATGGCAATACTATGTTCGTATGATCAAACTACTCGTTGGATAGATCATGTGCATTTTATATTCGATTTTTCTTTCTAATGGTAATGCCATGTTTATTTAGTAAACCGTACACCGACATGCTTCGTGAATATTTTATACTCAGCTTTTTTTTTCGATGACAATGCCATGTCCATCCGACCAAACCGTGCGCCGACTGAGCCGTAAGTTTTCATGCTTAGTTGTTTTTTTTTCCTAATGGCAATGCAATGTTCATCAAGCCAAGCTATACGTTGGGCAAGTTGTGGGTATTTCATACTCGGTTATACTTTCTAATGGCAACTCCATATTCTATTTAGTCAAATTATGTGTTGGCTAAGCTATGAGCAAGAAAATTAACAGAAAAAAAAAAAATCAATCACATCATTGTTAGCTGAGCACTAAGACTAGCTTTTGCCCCCTTAATTAATTAAGTGAAACCTTGGAGAAGAGTTAGAGAGCACTCATGAACTGATCATCTCTTTACATTGCTTTGTCTATATCAAAATAGATTTTCAAGTGTTTGTTCAAAATAATAGCATTTAAGATCCTAACAGCTGTAAAACTGATCTACATATGCATTTTTATTAAGAATTCTATCTGATGAGATCATTACTATTGCCGAGCATTATTTTTTGCTAGTGAACCTCCTCACTTGGAGACTGTTTTCTTGTCAAATCTTGACCAATTTTTTTAAAAAACATAAGTCAATATACTTAGCCACATATTTTTAGAAAAGGCTAGTAGGTGACAAGGCACCTGACGTATGTGCCACTTAATTATTTTTTGGTACATGCCTGTCAAGCGATATCACTCTCATTTCAATTGTGTAAGATGATATTTTAGGGGTTTCTATGCCTGACAGTTGTATTGTATAGTTGTTTGCTCCCCGTCGGGGAACCCTCAGCCAAAGTTTCAAAATTGCAACACCAAACAAAAGTGGTTCGTTCCTGTCAAGTTTAGTTTCATCCAATCCTCTTGACTCACATTCAAAAACTGGCCTGATAGTTGTCAATTACCAGCCTCCTACCTCCACACTTGCTAAGCTAACTGAGTTTCAAGACTGTTTTGGATACAAGTTTAGATCCTAGAAACTTCGACATATAAAATAATTTTTTTCCCATGTTTTTCATGTAAATGTAAAGATTAAGGGTTGAGTGTCACCTTTGTTTTAATAATGGTTTCTCTCTAAGGAATCGTTCTTATAGAAAAAGAACAAAGAGTAGTCCGATCTCCTTTACAACTATTCTTCTGTATCTATAATGGATGGGTAGGCCTCATATGAAAGCATTTTTCTACTATTTGCACTTGATGGCTAGCTACTTTTGTCATCAAGTTCATCAATGCATCTTGGCAGCAAAGGAATCAATTAAAACAAACAAAATCTATATCTTAAAATTTTGAGCAATGTTATTGAATGTGGCTAATCAAATTAACAAACGAAGAGAACACAGTGGTAACAATATTAAAGGTCACCCTCTCAGGGAGTATTTCTTTCCTGTGAATGGCTGAAACGATTCTTTCTTTGAAGTTTCTGTTTCAGTTTGTTCTTTAGTAATCCCTTTGGACATGCTATTGCCCACACTTATAGCAGCTGTGTACCTTCTTGGCTTCTCTTTCTGTGTGGATGATAAATCAGCTTCAATTGAACAAGCCCCCCCAATGGTCTAGCCACACCTGCAAATACAAACTTTGGCTTTACCTCATCAGCTGCCCTCTCTTCTTTCACTGGTTGTGCAGGTCTTTTAGGCTCTTTATAATCCAGAGGCTGATCGAAGTAAGCCTCACAGTCTGTGTAAATGAAACTTTTGGATACGCTCTCGTCCACACTTATACCGGCTGCGCCAGTTCTTGTGCTCTCTTTCAGTGTGGATGATAATAAACCAGCTTCAATTGAACATGTCTCATTCAATCGTCTGGCCATACCTGTGAATGGTACAAACTTTGGCTGCTCCTCGACTGCCTTCTCTTCTTTTGCTGGTGGTGCAGGTTTCTCAGACTCTTTATAATCCAGAGGCAGGTCAAAATCCACCTCACAATCTGTGTTAATGATACTGATAGCAGAACTTGGCTTGGTGTCCACAATATTAATGTAGAAACTCTTACCTCCAAAGTCGATCTTGATGATATCGCCAGTGGTTAGGCAAAAAAGTTGTTAGTCAGACCTTCTTCTAGTGCAGCTTTCGGGTTAGAGATGGAAAAGAAATCCGTGGAGTGGGGTTGAATCTTTACGTAAGTCCCGTTTTCAAGGTTTACGCTTTTTATGTTCACGAAATCACCCTCTTTCAATTCAAGGTTCTCCATCATCCACTTTGGCAGATGAACTTTGCCCTCTTCGGCTGTGAACTCACTAACACCGCAATGCGAAAGCCGTCCATCAAGTTGGTTTTTTCTGATTTCAAATAGCATAGGGAACTCAATTTCAAAATCGAGTTGCCTTTGGAGTACTGATGGGGGCATTATAATCTGATTGCCATTCTCAAGATGCAACTTCCCTACTGTGGAGAGGGGATAGCAAACATAAAGACCTTGGAATGAATATTCACGGCCGCCAGATTCTTCAGAATGCCGATCCTGATGATTGTATGAGGATGAGTCACGTTCGAGAGGATAATGAGGATCCCGATAAGTATGTGGGGATGAGTCATGAGCAAAATAATCATAATCATAGCTCCAGTTATCGTCGTCATCGTTTTCAATGTAGCTGCCATCGTCAGTATTGTCATCAGAGACTTCAATGATACCATTAGATTCTTGGGAAGTCTCACCAGAGGCAGCATCGCGAAGGAATTCAGAGTCTGACTCTTTGCTTGCATTAGATTCTTGAAAAGTCTGAATAGAGGCATCATTGCTCCTTTCCACCATCAATTGGGCAGTGTCATGAAAGCCTTTGCTCTCACTATTCGTTAATCGGGCAACAGGAAAAAAGACTTCAGAGTTTGACCCGTTGCTTTTAACAGAAGATTCTTGAGAAGCCTGACTTGAGGCATCGCTGACTACTGGGGGAGTCTGATCAGAGGATTTGTGGTTTCCTTCAGGCTCTTTAGAAATTTGCTCCATCACGATGATTGCTAAACTAACGAAGGCGTTTCGATAATGGAGCCTGAAGAAAGCAGTTATGGAACGTCTAACCCTAACCTTGCAGGAGGCCTCAGGGTTGTATGGCCAGAAGGTTTGGCTTATGCTGTTGATATTTATAGGGTTTGCAGTACAGTTTCTAAACGTAACCTTTATAAAGTAATTAACCGCCTCAAAAAAAAGAAAAAAAAAACAAAAACAAAAACAAAATTGAGTTAGGGTAGAATCATGACGCAGCAATCTAGAATACAGCAGTCCGTAATAGAATGGGATTTGCCATCTGGAGGGTAATTATGATGCAATCAAAAGTCCTAATGAAGCAAGGTGTCCAAAACCCCTCCATGAGACGATAACAAACTCAGCTTCAGCTTGGATGTTTATATATATATATATATATAAACTCTCTTTTTAAAAAAGAAAAAATTTAGCTCACACACTTAGGGTTCCTAACAAAACTAATCTACTAGAATTTAAACATGTGAACTTGCTTGGATGTTTATGCAAAAACCAATTTGCACCCACTTCAATTATGTTCGTAAATTGGAAGATCAAACAATGGGCTGTTTAATCTTGAAGTAAATATATTGTTTCTCTGAGATTATTGTTTCCCACTAGGGGAAGAAAAGGTTTCATGAAATTAACTTTTTTTGTCAGTCTAACATGATTGAGCTTTTGCCAAGGAACGATGATGTCTGGTTTAGGATTTTCCCTTAATTAGCATTAGTTAGCAGAGAAGATGTATATTTGAAGCACCATGGAGGATTACTGAGTTAGGATTTGTCAAGTTGAAGTGAGCAGATTTATGGGATTGGAGTACCAACAAGAAACAACAAATGAGTTTTTTGGAGATTCGAACAGTCTTGGCTTCTTGCATAACTCTGGATTTCCATCAAAAATTGTACATGGGTGACCACGCAAAAAAGCACATGTTCTACGAGTATTTGAACTAATGGAAATCATATATATAAACTGCTGTCTCATTTTCCTTGAATATTTCATGTACATCGCATGGTTGAGGCTTCTATCCAACACCCAACTTTCCATACCACATTGCTGCTGAGACATAAATATCAGGACAGTCTTAGAGTGTTTTTCGGAGCACTTATCCAGGCAGTATCAGCAATGGCAAATCTCCACAGTGCACTTACATGCTCAGGCAAAGCATAATCAATGCCGACACGTGGACCAACTAGTATCTTTTCAGGCGCTGGGCCATCCAAGAGTTCCAAACCACCTGAATCACGTCCATTTATTCATTTCAGTGACATGTGAATTTCATCAGATTCACAGAATAGGTAAAGGACAACTAGAAAATTTACCAGGAGAGTAAAGGGGATGGTTAGACCATTCTGTTGAAATCCCCAGTGCTTGACCAATCTAAACAGAACATAAAAGATTCAGCAAATGAGAAGATTTTGCTAATAGAAGAAAGCATGCTCCATTTGCCTTAAATCTTGAGTAGTTTTCACACTTGCTCAACAAATTATGCACTGCAATTGACAACTTGCAGTATTCAATAATAACATTATCACCAGCATACTGTCATGGGAAAGAGAGATGGTTAAAGGATGATGCCAATCAACATTAATATTTACATGTGCTAGTAAGTTTATAAATAAGGAGAAATTTTTCTTCTAAAACATTTTAGTTGTGGTCACTAGAATTTCTTTTGTGGCAGAGCCATTGCACCCTTGCAATTTCCCAAACATGGTACACATATTTGTTACCATTTATGGAAAAGTTGCAAGAACTAATGAAAATAGTTCATCATCATTAGTTTGCTGAGTTCATAACTGGATAATGACCTTTTTGGTAAACAGTTCAAAACTGTTAAATCTTATTAATGTGAAAATTCTTTTGTTAATCGAAGACGTCAAAGAGCCATTTCATTATGTACATTTAATAATTCTGCTTTGCCATAAAAGGTTATAAAGTTACCTCCACACATGTAGAAATACTCATTCGTCACTCATAATTTATGACTACACATAGAGGGAATAAAAACAATTCCACAGGTTGTTAGTACTTAGGATATCATCCAGTCAGATGTTAAAATTATGTGCGAAAGGTGGCAATAAAATGAAAACTGACCTTGCCAGGTCCATTAAGGAGAACAGGCTTCTCTGTTTTCTGACCCCGTCGCTCCTGAATGGTATCCATCCCTGCCATTGAAAACTGAATTAGAGAAACATAATACAAGCTTGCTTCACATACTTTCGTATTATGAAAAGCTACAATTCATCGAGAACAAAGGGCAGCAGTGATCAATTTGAATCTTCGTAACCATCATAAACAAAGTATCTCTAATCTAATCTGTGCAGATAGTTATCAGTGTGATTTTAGGCTAAAAGCTCCAGCTGATAAAACTAGGCAAGCAACAAATGGAGACACCTGATCCTATATTAGGATGAAAATCACCTCAAAAGGTGCACCTACAAATCAAGCTTTAAGATCGCTACTCCATGCCCTGTTAAGTAATTTAAACACTGGTAATGGTCTTTTACTATCACAATACTGCTCAAAGACCTTTAGTTATGTTGCATATCACAAATAAATAATCCTCTTTAATACCTGTATGTATTCAATGGCTTGAGCCAGTGACACTGCTAATTCCACAGCATATGATTTGATCTAGCCGGTTAATATTCCAGTCTCAAACTAAAACTTTTAGAAGTCAAATTCTGACATTGCCATAAGCCCATAACATGGTAGCTAATGTTTTTTGTCAAGAAACAAAGATAACTCTTCGAATTTCCTTACCAAAAAAAAAAAAAAAAGAATCCAGTTTTCCCAAACATAAGTCAGTCAGGTCTTGCAGTAGTACTGAAATTGTATATGTTATTTCCATTGATTAGGGCTATCAGTCTGAATCTACTAGCACCAACTGAGTGAATGCATGGTAACAGGTAATTAACAAAATTCATCTTGTTCCTGCAAGGTCTTTATGAAGAACCAAATATGTCTTAAGTCACACTTTAGCAACCCAAAAACCTTAATTGATTGCTGATTGACTCTGTAATATGCTTCACATTTCACCATCCTTTTCGCCTTTGGGTGGAAAGTATGTCATGTAATTCTCATCATTCAGTTTGCATATTTGAAAAGAACAGCATGATGTGAATAAGTTCGAGAGCATAATGCAGATACTCACAATTATTCAAAACAACTTGAATTAAGGAGGACATATCATCAGATACATGAAAAATATAACATGAATTCCTTACAAATCAACATTCTCATCAAATAACTGTGAAGAAACCAAACCAGTAGCTAGGGACAAGAGACTAATATATTAGCAATTCCTTTTCTCCAGCCCACCAGAATGCTAGCAGTTTTCTTTTATTAATCACTTTCTAAGTTCTAGCGACGCCTGAGTTTAAAAAAATAAATAAATAAAAGGGGAATCCTATCTGGACCTAGGCTGTTACAATTTTTCCTTCCAATTAAGACCATCTTGAGCTGTATGATTGCTTACACAATGCTACCAATTATGGTGTTCTTTTAACCAGATTAACCACCAGTTAACCATCCAAAATACAGAACTAGTGCTTAAACAGTTCCTTTATATCAGATTCTGTATGTGCCAGTTTGGAGGGCATTATCCATGTGGCAATACCTGCACTGAGACGAAAGGACTAGAACATAGAAGCCAGCAATGCATATCAAAGAGAAGAGAACTAATTTACAGCACGAACATACAATCCGATTCGAATTTTGAACACCACTTCTCGTTAAAGATACGCAAAATTACCACTAATCGGAGCGCAAGAACGAATCAACACAGCAGCACCGACTCCTTCTTTGTCCGCAACAACATTGAGCATTGTATGCAAACCATAGCAGAGATAAACATACGCGTGCCCTCCCGGTCCAAACTATATCCAATCAAAAAAATTGAACACGATAATCAATACAACCACACCAAACCTATGTCCAAAATCATGAACGACCTTAAATGAAAGTGCAGTATATCTTACAACTGGAGCAGTTCTTGCTGTAATCCCAAATCTACCATGACAAGCTGAATCATTCGGTCTATAAGCTTCTACCTGTCAAAAACCATTCCTTTATTACTTGCTCATTTGCTCATTTTTTCATCTCAGCTCCAAAACATAAAAATAAAAATAAAAGAAACCCCGGAAACTCAAAATTGTTACTTTTAAATTATATTACCTCAGTAATCTGCAAAACAACGTTGTCTCTCTTCAAGAACTTGCCAAGCAGACGAGGAGCAAGGTCAAGAGCGTCAATTTGAAAGAATTCACGAGGCAAGATTGTCATTTGATCAAAAGTCATTGAGCTTGGGATTGGAAGGGAAAGAATTCTGGGAGTTTTGGGTTTGGTTCTAGTGGTTATGGATTTTAGACTCTGAGTTGGCCGATGTGTTGCTGGGTCGTTGTCGAGTCTGCTCGCTTGAATCGGTTTCTTGGGTTTTATGACTCGCTTGAATCGCTGAGTTCTCTTCATTGGGTACTTAGATTGATTGTGGTTTTGGCGGGTGCTGGTTAACCGACGGTTGTTTCGCTCACAGATGAGTTTTCAGACTTTTAGACTTGGTAAATCACTTGAAAATATGAAAATAACGTCATATATAACTAAACTCACCCAATTGTGTAATGAATTATTCTCACTCACTAACACTCCCTCTCCAACTTCATCTCTCTCTCCAACTCGATCCCTAACCCAAAAAAGAAATAAATCAAAATCAGAAAATCCACTAAATCAAAGACTAAAATTGTCTGAAAATGTGATTGATATTCGTTTAAAAGGTGTTTATGATGCAGATGCAAGCTAGGATTTCTGAAAGTGCTGCAAGGGTTTCTAGAGTTGAAATCTCCCAGATGGAGGACTAAAGTTGATTGGTTTGATATGAAAGGACTAAACTGAAGAAGTTGGCAATTCAGAAATTCCAAGGAGTTTAATTGGGGTCCACGTCATCACCCAATTTTGAACCAAATTATTCAAAAAAAAAAAAACATTTATTTAAAAATTAAAAAAATTGCTTATTTCTGATTTTTAATATTTTTAAAAGCATTTTGATGAATTTTTACAATTTAAATCATACCAGCATTTTTTGAGAGAATTTTTTCATTTTTTTTAAAAAGAGAGAATTAAAAAAAAAAAAAAAGATAGGAAAAAAAAAAACAAAGAGAGAGCTACAGAAAAGACCAAGAGAAAGTCGTCAAAAAAAAAAAAAACTAGAACAAAAGCCACAAAGAATAATAATAATTGAAAAAGAGGGCACAATCAAAAGGAATAATAATAAAAAAAAAAAACAGAGAGAGAGAGATTAGGAGATGTGGTGGTGTAATTGAAGAAAAAAAAAGGAAGGATGAAATTTGAAAATACACTAAAATAGAAAAACCAATTTAAACTGAACAATGTTGTTTCGAAGAGAAAAAAAAACATAGCTAAAATGATATCGTTTCAACCATGCCTAGCACTATTCATTCTCTTTCTCCTCACTCCAACCTTATTTTTGCTACAATAAGAATAAAAAAAACAACTAAAAGGCTTTGAATAGTGAGGATTTGAAAAAAAAAAAAAAAAAGAATCAATGGCCCAAAATGAGTAGTTTTTAGAGAGGATAAAAAGAGCAATTTTTAGAGATTGAGGGAAGGGTTTTTACTATTGAAAAAAAACAGAGAGAGAGAGAGTTTTGGAGAGTCATTTAAGAGATCAATTAACATTAGTCAAGGAGGAAGAAAAAAGATTGAAAAGGGAAAGAAAATGAGGGTGAGGTCGCCAAAACAATGTTGGCAGTCACCTTTGTTGCCATTTTTGAACTTCAAGCAAGTACTTTTATATGTTTTTCCTCTTTTCTTTCATTCATAATAAACTTGTGGTGTGTATGCTAACTTCATTTTGTGTGTAGACATCATATAAGAACTATAAAATGGCAAGAAAAAAGGTGTCTAGTGGCTCTCAAACTAGGCAAAACGTTAATTGGATAAAGATTTTAGGCTTCGATTTTGTTTCTTATATTGTTGATTGAATGTGTAAAACCTATTAAGGTATAGAGAGATATCATGTCTAGGTCGTAAGTCCTTTAGTTGCAACTATTTGAAAGAAAAAGCCCTATAAATAAAGGTTGGAGGTAGGCTAGTTGAGTGAAAAAATAAGAGACAAAAATTGGATATAAAATTTGATTGGATCATAATTTTAAATATCGATTGAAAAAATTATCGCGGTCATAATTACGGATTGTTGTTTATCGCGATGGTAAAATAACAATCGCAACAATTGATGTCGTAAATATATTAACAATTGTTAATAAAATTTATTATAATTCATATATTGTTAACATTTTTATTAATTAAGCATACTAATAAGTAATAACATCTCTAATAGCTTAATATCATATAACATTAGTATAATTTATTATTAAAAAATAGTTAATAACACTTCTAATTGATTAATATCACACAAAAAAAATACATTATAACTTTAATATAAATGTTATAAAATATTCATCTTAAAAAAGATCGTCGTGTAGGATCATAATAATAGTTATTATTTTGTTGTTGATGTTATGATCTTTATTCATCAAAATTATAATCATAACTATATTATCCTCCCAAATCCAATTGTCCAAACGAGTGAATCATAAGGTATATAATCATATACTTGTGAACCTTGTAGGTGATAATATTGTCCCTAATCATAATTGAAGTTAGAAACCAAACTATCTTTAAAACAAACATAATGATGTCCTTGATCATGTAATATGGTAACTATATTGTCCTTCCAAATCTAATTGTCCAAACAATGAATCATAAGGTATATAACCATATACTTTTGAACATTATGGGTGATAATAGTGTCTCTAACCATAATTGAAGTTAGAAATGAAACTCTCTTTAAAAGAGACATGGTTCTGTCCTTGATCGTATAGTATGGTACACCTAGATTGTTATGGTTCTACCATTACTACTTTATTTCAGCATTGGATGTAGGAATAGTAGGATCATGCAATCCACACTTATATAGAACTAGATTGACATTGATATTATGTATGGTTTCATGAGTGTCTCTTTTTATTTGAAAAGAAGTCCCAACTTTATAGATACCACTTCATGAAGTTTACAACCTCCATCATTACTATTGCTATTGTTGTTAAAAGAAGCTCTTAGATCACTAGATTTCTCAATAATGTTGCAATTGATATTTTAAACGAAAATAAGGATTGTGAGCCTAAATTTATTATAGAATGTCAACATAAAGATGATTGACCTAAATGAAAAGAGCATTTCAAACGGAATTATATTCTCTTATAAACGAGTAGTTTTTGAACTCGTAATCAAAACACTTGAAGATGTTAAGGTAGTAAGATATAAATGGATATTTATGTGAAAATCAAATAAGAAATATGAGATTGTGAGATACGAAGTAAGACTTACAAAATAAGAATTTTTGTAAAGACCTAACATTGACTATAATGAAATATATTCTTCTATAATTGATGCAATCACGTTTTGTTATCTCGTTAGTTTGATAAAATATATGAAAAATTTCATATACATGCATTTAATGGATGTGATCATAGTTTATTTATTCATTTGAAAATGATATTTATATGATAGTCTTATAAGGACTTAAGATACTTAAAACATATAATACATATTTTCGGAGAATATATTGAATTAAATTATAGAGATCTCTATAAAGATCATTTTAATGTTTGTTTTATTACTTTAGTCTTTAAAATTTTGATTTATTCCATACTTTTTATATTTTATTTTTCAATAGCTACTCTTTATTGCTAATTTATATGTATGTGGTATAATCATCTTAATGAATATTTGTTAAAATGAGTTATAAAAATAATCATATTTGTTCATGTATTTTTGTAAAGAAATTCAAAAGAGGCTTTGATGATTTAGATATTATTGAAACTTTTGAAGAGATTTTAAATATCATAAGTTATCTAAAAAGAGAATTTAATAAGAAATAACTTGGAAAAACAAACTTTTATCTCGACTTGTACTTCGAACACCGAGAGAATGAGATTTTTACTCACTAGTCAATTTATATAGAAAAAGTTCTACAATTATTCTATAAAAAGCTCATCCATTAACTAGTTTAATGGTAGTTCATTCACTTGATATCTAAAAAAATCATTTTTCGACAACAAAAAGATAACAAAGAATTACTTAGTCCTAAAATATCATATCTTAGTGCATTTGGTACATTGATATATCTTGCTAATAATGCTTGATTTGATATAATATTTTTTATAAATTTATTTGTAAGACATAGTTTTGCTCTAATATATAGGCATTAGAATGGACTTAAACATTTCCTATCTTCTATCCAAGAAAAAATTGATATGGTATTTATTTTACTCAAATAAATCAAAGTCGAGTTTAATTGGTTATGCATATGCGGACTCTTTATTTGATTTATACAAAATTGATCACAAATAGATTATGTATTTACAATATATCTATATTATGACGTTCTATGAAGCAAACTATAGCTTCTACATATTCAAACCATGCGAAAATATCAATTCACGAGACAAGTCGAGAATGTATTTGGTTAAAGTCAATGACTCATCATATCCGAAAGATATGCGATTTATCTACCGAGTAAAGAAGTTTTAACAATATTATATGAAAATAATATTGCTTGTATAATTAAATTAAAAGAATAATAAATTCAAGTGACGATTCTACGGACTTATTCATCGAGGCATTACCTATCACAAATTTTGAGAAAATGGTTTGCAAGATTGAGATTCATCGTCTTAAATATCTTAAATAATGTTTTTAATAGGAGGAATCCAACGTAAAGATTAATGTGTATAAGAAATATTATAATTTTTTTCTTCACTAGGATTTTTTCATCGGGTTTTTTTATTGATAAGTTTTAACAAGACATGTTTCTTTTACAATGAACATTTAAGGAGGGGTGTTATAAAATAATAAATGTTCATATGCTTTCTACCTCCCTTTTACTCAATGTGATTCAATTCATAATTTAATGTACTTTTTAGTTGATCATAGTCACTTTCGATTGTCTTCCTAATTTTAAAGTCTATAAATAGATTTGATTATTCATTAATTTTTATAAATATATTTTGTAGACAGTGAAAGAATTATTTGAAGTTGTTATCCGTATTCACTTTATTTTGTAATGAATTTATTTTTCTATCACTTTCTCTTCTATTTTATATCATTATTATTTTTTTATTTCATAGTAAATTTAATTTTGTATTATTTTTTTCTTTCTCTCTATTATTGTTATCATTTCTTTTATAACAAATTAGATAAATTTTTAATTTTTTAAAAACAAATAAAAACTTAAAAACAAAAAACTTAAACAAAAATCAGGATATATATAGCCCAAACATTAAGAAACCATAAGTGGCAACTACAACAAAACCCTAATGAAACGAAACACAGTATTCTAGACCTTTCCAAGATCCCCGCTTCTCTTTTATTCCCAAACCCAATCGGACCTAAAAAATTCTAGACCTTTCCATATCAGAAAACACACAAATTAAAAACCCTCCACGGGAAGGAAGAAACGGCAGCTCCCAGTTTATCCTTCCCTCTCTTTCGATCTCTCTCAGAACCCAAATTTCCCACACCAAAAGCCAATCTCTCTCTTGCAAACCTTGATTTCATTTTCAAGATTCATCAATGGCCAAGTACGGAGAAGGAGACAAACGATGGATCGTGGAAGACAGACCAGACGGAGCCAACGTGCACAACTGGCACTGGGCAGAGACAGACTGTTTAGAATGGTCAAGAAATCTCCTCTCCAAACTCCTCAACAACCTTACCATCCTCGACGGCGAAGGGAATCTCTTCATCAACATCAACAAGGTTGAAAAAGTTGAGGGAGAGGCTTATGTTAATGTCCGAAAGGGGAAAATAATTCCGGGTTATGAATTAAACGTGGTTCTTTCGTGGCAAGGTGAAGCGAAAGATAATGAAGGGAATAGTTTATTGAAGGTAGATGGATCTGTTGAAATTCCGTATATTTCTGATGAGAATGCTGATGAAGATCCTGAGATTCGTGTCACGGTGAAAGATGAAGGCCCAATTGGAAAGACTTTGAAGGATGCTATGTTTGCGAAAGGGAAGCCCCTGGTGGAGGAAAAAGTTAGAGTTTATGTGCAGAGTATGGCGAAAGGTGGGCCCGCGAAGGAGGAATTGGAGATTAAGAAGGTGGAGAAAAAGGGGCAGCCGGTGGCTGGGGCATCGGTGAAGAAGGAGGGGAATGTAGCTCCGGTTATGAAAAAGGAGGAGGTCAAGAAGGAGTTAAAGAAAGAGGGTTTTAAGAGTATTAGTTTGACGGAGAAATTTAGTTGTAGAGCCAAGGATTTGTTTGAGATATTGATGGATGAGAATAGGTGGAAGGGGTTTACGCAGAGTAATGCGAGGATTAGTAAAGAGGTTGGAGGGGAGTTTAGTATTTTTGATGGGTCGGTCACGGGGAGAAATTTGGAATTGCAGGAGGGGAAATTGATTGTGCAGCAATGGAGGTTTGGGAACTGGCCTGATGGGATTGTTTCGAAGGTGAGTTAATTGTTGGTTTTGCTTTGAAATATTAGTTGCTTAAACGAACTGGTGATAAGTAGGTGAAAATTGCTGAATTGAATGGATTTTTTGTTGTTTTTTGTATTAATTTACAGTTACTGGTTGTTCTTGTGTGAGTAGGATTGCTTGTGAATGGTGTAAGATTGATAATGGTTGAATATAGGTTAACTAAATGAATTTGGATGGTGATTCCAGGTAAGAATGACTTTTAATGAGCCTGAACCTGGGGTTACTGTAGTGAAGGTGGTGCATACTGATATACCTGAGGAAGACAGGTTAGTTTCTTGTTTTGAAGCAGGAAATTCTGTTTTTGTAATGATATTTAGTCAAGTTTTGCTGTTGTTTTGTTCTTTGGGCTCATGATCTTTCTTATTTTGTCTCTGCTATTGTTGATGCAGATATGGGAATGCAACTGTGGTGGAGAATACTGAAAGAGGATGGCGGGATCTTATTTTAAACAAGATACGGGCAGTTTTTGGTTTTGGCATATGAGTTGTTTTCATAGTTTCTTTGAAGTGTAGAATTTCATCAATTTATCTTTCAGCAATGAAATTTGAATTACTGAATGCTGGGATTGTTTTGGATGTTACGTACCTTCCTTGATAATTCTGTCCACGTGGTTGTAATCTCATCAAACTGCATGTCATGGCCATCATGTTTTCTAATAACCAAAATGTTTTATTAAGCAAGCTTGTTACAAATTATAGTGTATGATTTGTCAAGGTAACAAAACCTTTTTGACTGCTTCAGTTGTCATGCTGTTCTTCTTATGGAATACTGGATTCAGTTGTGGGAGCACATTAGTCCCTTTTGTTGTGTGCACTCAATAGGTAGTCTCCACAAATGTGTCAAACGTATTATGGCCAAAACCATATTTTGTAATTTATAATGATACTTAGTTTATAACATAGAAGCAGTCATGTGTGATCTGGTCATTGGGATTTGGTTTTCATGAAAAATTTTCAGTGGTCTATGATGGCCGTGAAAACTCCTATCTTGAAGTGGAGATTTTTTCTTATATAGATTGCTGAGGGTATCTCTTGAGTTTGGTTGCTGTAAGTAGGCCTAGTTCTTTTCATTGTTTGGTTTCTGAGCCAATTTTTGGGATAGGAAAATGCCCAGTGATGGAAAGGGTGTCCTTTGTAATGTTGCTGTGCTGGAAATCTTCCGTTCATTTTGAATATTGTGTCAGGAAGTTAAATGCTCGATACCATAGATCTGGAGCGTAATTTTTGTAAGTAGCATTCCCGTTTTAATGTAATTTAAGGTGGCTGTGTGACTTGCAAGCAAAGTTCTGTCAAGTAATGTGATTGATAGTATAATGTAGTTAAATGCAACCTGAGACTGATTAGTACTGAGTTCTCAAGCATGCAATGCCATAGAGTATTATAGCTTGAGACACATCTCCTGGATTGGAGATGAAAGTGAAAACCATGTAAAAGATTTAAGAAATTCATGAATTTTGGTGGCTCATAGCTCTTAGGAAACCCTTTTTTTTTTTTTTTTTTGTAACGAAACAGCAGGTGGGAAAACATAATGCAGGTTTTGAGGAATATAGGGTACTGATTCGGAAAGATTTTGGAAAGCATGAGATGTGCTTAGTTTTTTTTGTGGCATGTAGTGGAAGCATGAGAATGGTGATTGTGGGTGTTCATAGTAGAACCCGCTGATGGTGACATGATGTAATTTGGCCGACTAGCAGTCAATTCGAGAATGCCTTCTTTAGTTTTACTCTAACTAGGGCTAATCTGGTGCATGGATTTATTTAACTAGAGCTAATCCAGTGCATGGATTTATTAAGAGAATAGCACATTAACTAGCTGTGAATTTGAGAAGTCCCGATTTTTGTGCGAGAGAGATTGAGTGTTAAAGTCTTTCAAAAACTTTTCCTTTCTGAATTGTAGGTTGTGGTATCTTATTTGGGTTGTGAATATTTCAGTATTTACGTTGCCAAAGATGCACGTTTTGCTAACAAAGTGCTTTTCAGTCTTGGGTTATTTTATGCGAAGATTCGTTTCTGTGATGGAAGAATGGCCTGCTCTCTGGTTTTTAGGCCGCATAACTCCTTGAATCCTCTTTGAAGTAAGTTTACTATCGTGCTGCAAGAATTTTGCAACCGGCCTTTTGTGGCTGTGATCATGAAGGATTCTTGTCATTTTGGATGTTTTTTTGTAAAAAAAATTTGGTGCCGTCTTCCGCTCAGTTCTTGTTCTGGTTTTCAGAAAACGCTTCAACTGTTCCAGGGTTACACAGGCATGTGTGGATGCTGGGAGTGATAGAAATACGATAATATTGTCTGTACTAAAGCATGGATATTGTAAACGAAGACAATCGGTGGACTGTCAGCCCGATTTAATGCATTATGTTGGGAGATAGCGAGCATGGTATGTTGTTGGTTTCATGGAGCTGAGCTATTTTAGCAAGTGTGTTACTCTTTAAAATAGTTGAATGCTTTGGCATTGCTGTTCTGTTCTAACTTCGGATCTTGTAGCAGTTAAATTAATTGATAGTTTCATTCTAATGGCTGGTGTCTTATATGACTGGTTTCAGTTCGTTTTCTGATTTGGAAAATTCCCAGTTGTGTTGTTTTTAGTCGTTTCCTTTTGTAATGAGCATGTTTGATAAAAAGAGGACTAGCTTGTTCTGCTCTTCCATTTATGTTCCCAGCCAACCGAATTTCTGTGTATTAGTGTTTAAGGCAACTTTCCATGTGCAAGCAGATGTTGAACTGCAGCAAGAGGGAAACAATTTATTTCCAACCTAATCTCACTCTGCATAATTTGAAAGCCCTCTCCAACATGATTAACCTGTAAAATATTTGATGGTACAACATTAGTATATATATGCTATGGTGACGGGTGGAAGATATTCACCGAAAGTGCCACAAATCTTTCTCGCAAAATTACTTAAACAAATAATAGAAAGGCCCACAAAATTAGTGAACATAGAATTCTGGCTCAAAAAATTGCGTCTGCCGGGAGTCGAACCCGGGTCTATTGCTTGGAAGGCAATTATCCTAACCGTTGGACTACAGACGCTTACACGCAGGAGTGGTCCACACAATTTAAAAATTAAAATTATTGGTTTTGCTATACCTAAGTTTCTTCCTGTTTTCCCTTAGTCTATTTCCATTTTAATATTATTGGTCTCGGAATTCTTCTGATTCGAATCACCTCCTGCTTGGGATTAGGAATGGAAAAATGACCCGACTCAAGATCGTTCCGTCTCATCCCACCTCAATCAACGTGGGGATTCTCTCGCATTGATTGGGGAACGGGACGGGTGCCACCGCCTCGTAATTTTTTTGAACGGGGATGGGATTTGCCCACCCCGTCCCGTTTTGCCCCATCAACGGTGACTTATATTCAGTTACTTAGGGTTAGCTAATGGCTTACTTATATTAATGATGTGGATGTAATTTACATTCTTAGGACCAATTGAAAATATGACTATACACAATGAATTATTTCTCTCTGGTTTTTGGATGCTGCAGTCGATATAACAGATTGATACAAGGAGGCATGACCGCATGAGACCTCGGCTTATATATGTATACATTCAAATTATGCTAGATTTCATTTTTTCTTACACACACACACATATATATATATACACTCCAGTTGAGGGTCTATAGCATGCAGTACCAGACACAGTACGTGACTTAATGGAAGGCCACGCTCGTGACTAATTGGTCATGGCCATGAGCTTTTCTTTTCCTCATAAGTCATGGCCGTGACTTCTTTTGATCACTTTCCTTCCTACGATCTTCTTTGCTTCCAATTTGATCCCGAAATTAGATAAAACATAATTTAAGAATATTTTATCAATTTAATTAAGTATGTTATTTATTCGGTTAAAAATGATTTAATATATTATGAATTGTATTGTAATTTGTGATAATTAAGTATGTGCTTGGAACATGTTTTTTTATTGTTTGTCTTTGAGTTTCAGTGATTTGATCTCTTGCTTGGGAAACAAAATTATACAAATTATGTGTGTTCATTATAAAATCTGTCAAAATAGAGCAAAATGGGATGGGACGGGGCGGGGAGGACACAAACAAGTAAAACAGGGTCCCGTTTGCCCCGCAGGGTCCCCATCCCTGTTTGAGGCAAGGATGGGATGACAAATTCTGCCCCATTCGAGGCACGGGGCAGGGATCGGGAATTTTTTAAGAGGGAGGGGATGAGGATGGCGATCCCTGCCCCACCCCGCCCCATTGCGATCCCTACTTGGGATGCTACAATGGATCTAAACATGCATTGATATTGTTGAAAAATAATATAAAATTATTGGATGAGAATTTTACTAATAAAATAGTCAAGTGTTTACATTTTACTTTTTTTTACTTGTTTTTAATTAATAAAAAAATTAAACACAAAGTATTATTAGTCTGGACATTTATAAGTGTCAAATTAAAAAAAATATATATTTGAAAAAATATGTTAGAAAATAATATAATTTTTTTTTCTTAAAACTTTATCAAAATAGTTTAAATTGAGATGATTTGTTTAACATGTACTATTGATTCAAGATTCGACCTTTATTAGTTTTTCTAATCACTCCTTTATAATCTTTGTCGGAACTGAAAATATTAAATCCATGTACTGTACTGGAAGAAGAAAATAGATGTCCAACTAGGTGACTTGGAACGAGCAACACTGGCCCATGAAGGAAAAAGATCTGAATTCCTATAGTCTACAAAGTAAGCCTCTAGTTTGCGTGATTAGAATTTCCTCCACTCATTTATGCTTGCTGGATTAATCCAATTTTCATGAGTCTTGCCCACGACTGAATATATATATATATATATATATATATATATATATATATATATATATATATATATATATATATATATATATATATATTAATCTTATAAAGACCGGATAAACACCGGGAATCTAACTATTGTGGTTCTTTTGTGGCCAGTCTAAGGTTGTAAAAATTACTAAAATTGCAAATAGATTGTACAGTAAATCATTAGGAAGTAAAAATTAGGCGGCCCAGGTGCCACAAGTATTACTAAAGATCATCAGTTCATGTCAAATGAGAGGAATTACCATGTACAGTTGATATTGCTGGGCAAAACCACGTTATACAAATACAAATAAAGAAGGAGCGCACTAAATTTAGGATTAGTTTCACTAGTATGAATATGATCCATTAAAAAAAAAAAATCTCGACAATTATCAAGTAATAAAAGTACAATTTCAAAAGAAGTTCTTAATAAAACATTATATAAAACTTCTCAATAAAATACACATCTCATCAAACCTTTGAAATAAAATCTATTTAAATTTATTTACTCTGCCTAAATGCTACAATGCGTATATTATCCATGTTATTATTTATGATTCGATTTGTAGAGAATGCCAAAAAAAAAATAATTTTTTTATGAATGTATTAATTTGAATGAAAATAATTTGCTTAGGATTTAATGCACTAGATTTGAGGATATTCTTATTACTAAAAAAAAAAAAAACTATTCT